CCAAAGGACTGCAGTGATGATTGTTGCCCTCAGCATTGCCTAGAGTTAAAGAGACATTAAGCTTTTCACCAATTACCTGTTGTTCGATTCTGCCAACTCAGGTTTGAAAAGGAAAAGTAGAGGGAAATACAGAGTTTGAAGCTGCTTTGTATCCTGGTGAGCTCTTTAGATGTGTTTATCTTGCTTAAAGAGTAAACCCAAGTGTAGACCAGTCAAAATGGTGGAGCAGGAAGAATCAGCAAAGCCCAGCTCCCCCCACAACTAAAAAAATCCAAGAATGCCAGACAGAGTAATAATGATCAAGAAATCTAAGTAGAAACTCCAGCCAGTCATCTTTCCAGCACAAGATCGCAAATTCAATCCATGGGCAAGTGACCAGTGAAGGAATTGAGGAATAGGAGTAACTTGGGATTGTGGACCCAGAACCCAGGCACAGAAGAGAGACTCAGAGCTATTCCTCTGATCCAGAAAGGGAGCTTCAGATTCAGCATCCTTTGCAGAATAGAGATTCAGCACTGTTCCAGAAAGGTGATCTTGGATTCAGTTCTTGGAGCAGAACAAGGCATTCTGACCAAGGAAAGGAGATCACAGACTCAGCCCAGGGCTCAGAACAGGGCCTTAGCACAAGGGATGAACTTTTTGTCTGGTCCCAGAACAGCATGGTGGACTCAGTCTCCAGGCTCAGAACAGGGATAAGATGTATCCCTGGACTTGCTGAGCCTTCTGGTTCACTGACAAGGGTTTAGGACAGCAGCTATCTACTTGAGCTTCACTTGTGAGTAAATGTGTAACTATGTTGCCTAAATACAAACTAAGGTCTGTATCCAGGAAAGCCCAAGAAGGAGGGCAGGGCCTTTTATCATACCATGTAAAGGCCATTGAAATTTTTCAGTGACTTGGCCTGGGCTACTCCTATGATCCTTCAAGAATATAGCACACAATGTGTGAAGAGTATAGTGTCAGAAAACCAGGTAAGACAGACCAGGGCCATACAAAAACATAACAATCCTGACAAAACTGTACAAAGCCCAATGCTAGCACAAAGTCCAAATTGAGGAAATAAGGCAAAAAGAATGAGTACACACAAAAAAAAGTTAAAGAGAGAAATATTATGATTCCAGGGATGCCCAACATAAAAATCCAAAAGAAAGGAATAACTCCAAAATATCTGTACACAAAGCCTTAAATAAAAACACAGCTTCACCACTAATTCAATTAAAAATAAAAAAAGAATTTTTGCAAGAAGAAATGAAATAATTTTTAAAAGAATTTTAAATTATATAAATAAAATCAGAGTGCTAGAAGAAAGAATTGTGAAAGAAATGAGATTTCTGAAAGAATGACTTGGAAGTAGAATTAAAATTTTAGCACAAGTATAAAATGTTACCCAAGTAAGAGACACCCTAAAAATTAGAATGGACCTAATAGAAGTTAATGCTTCCATGAGGCAACAAGAACTACAAAAAGAAAGTCAAAAAATTGAAAAATAGGAGAAAATGGAACATTTCTTACATCAGAAACAATTGACTTGGAAAACAGATCAGAGATACAATTCATGAATCATTGTGTGAAAGCCATAACAAAAAAAAAAAATAAGAATCTAAACATTATACTTCAAGGAATCATAAAAGAAAACTGCCCAGATCTCTTATAACCCAAGTGAAAATAGAAGAAATCCACCAATCACCTCCTGAAAGAAACCCAAAAAAAAAGATTCCTGAAAAGATTCTAACCAAAACCCACAGCTTCTGGGTCAAAGAAAAAAAGTGCTGCTAACAGCCAGAAAGAGTAAAGTATCCAAGAATTCTCCAGGATCACATAAGACTTCACAGACACCACCAAAAAAGGCAAGGAAAGCATAGAATATGATATTTTAAAAGGCAAAAGATAGAGACTTATAACCTTAAACCCATCAGTGAGTTAGAAGGGTATCTACTCCAAGCATGTGAAGACTTAGCCTGGCAAAATGGACAGATGAAAACAATTTGTTTCAGTAGCCATGAAGGTAACTAAAGCAGACTCTCTAAAGCACTTAGAGCTTGGTCAGACATCAAAGATGCCAAAGTCATCCACTGCATCCTGGGATATCACTTGTTGTCCTGATTTTTGTCTTGCCACTGGCCTTCAACGACTCAAGAAGAGTGAAGCTGAGGACTTTGCACACCCCTGCCTCATTTAAATCAAATTCATGCACAAGTCAAGACATCACCTCATGATGTCATTGGTCTTCAAAAACAAAAGTCAAACAACAACAGTCAAGAATAACTTATCCAGCAAAATTGAGTATAATTATACAAGGCAAGATAATATCTTTAATGAAATAAAGTACTTCCAAGCATTCCTGATGAAAAGATCAAAGCTGAGTAGAAACCCTGAAATACAAACATGGGAGTCAAGAGAAAAATTAAAAGGCAAGTACAAGTAAGCAACTTGAAGAGATTTTATATGGATGAACTGTTTACGTTTTAATGAGAGGAGATGGGAAGTGATGATACAAGTACTCCCTCAAAACGCTGTCATCTGAGGAAATAGGAATAAAATAAGACAGAGGACCTGGGAGTCATTTTGTTATTTTTTATGATCTTAAAATAAAGAAAGGAAAGGGATGAGGGAAGGATATATACAGAAGAAAATCAATAGAAGTATGGAAGAATGTGTGTGTGTGTGTGTGTATACGTGTACAAACACATATATATGTACATACATATGGATATGTGTATGTGTGTGTGTGTGTGTATATATACATATATATGTATGCATATATATACATATACATTCAGGGTTCACAAGTAGAAATTAATACAAATGAGGAAGGAGTTGGGAGACCAAATGCCACTTTATAATTCACTTTCATATTAACTGGTCAAAAAAAATAGGAGAGGGACAGAGACAGAGAGACAGGGAGAGAGAGACAGAGACAGAAACAGACAGACAGAGAGAAACAGAGAGACAGAGAGAAAGAGAGACAGAGACAGAGAGAGTTTGGTGTAGAAATACATTCAATTCAACTGGAAAACAAGAAGCAACAGGGGGAGAAAGGGAGCGTGGGACTAAAGAAAGAGTGCATTCAGGGAGGGATTAGTCATAAGAAAAACAGATCCTAAGGATGAATTGGAAACATGAAGAGATGCCTGAAAGGAAAGAAAGAAAGGATGAGAGATTGTGATTGGGGTCTCGGTAAAGGGAAGAGAAAATGGGCAGGGAAGTAGAATTTGATTATAACAAAGCATAGAATATCAGTGCTAAGCACACTCCTGACCCATGTCCTCCTTTTTCTTTTTGAAGAGGGTTAAGGAAACAAAGAAGGAAAAAATAGTATGTGTAAGAGAATAAGACAAAGAGAAATACGTAATCAATGATCATAACTGTAAATAAGATGAAACATTCAAAAATGAAAGACAATGACAGAATGGATTACAGAACCCAAACATACTGTTTACATGAAACACACTTGAAACACAAAGACTCAAAAAAGATTAAAACAAAGAACTACAGCAAAATCCATTATACTTCATCCTAACTCAAAGAAGCAGGGGAAGCAAGCATGATCCCAAATAAGACTTTAATAATTTAGAAAAGATATCACAACAAAAAAAAAGAACACTTAGCAATTTGTCACCCAGTCTAGAACTATAATCTTTTATTTTATTTGCACTTATTTATATCTTACCATGGAAGGCAACAAGAAGTAATAAGCATCTATTAAGCACTTACATGTACCAGACACTATGCTAAGATCTGAGAATACAAATACAAGCAAAAAGAAAGTTCCTGCCTTCATGGAGCTTACATTCTAATTAGGAAAGACAACACACAAATCGGAGGTATGGGGGGAGGGGGATGAAAAGGGCAAGGAATCTAGTCCAAAAAGTCCAAAGTACAGCCAGGAGGTGAATGAAGTTTGGCCAGCCTGGATCCCTTCAAAAACTGGAGGGCCCAGGAGAAACACTGCTGGGAGAAAGGGGTCAGCATGGTAGGTGAATGTTCTAAGGTAAGGAGGCTCCAGATAGCAAGGTGAGTAAGACTGCAACTGAAGCATAGTGTTGAAATTCAGCCAGGGGAGGAGAATTAAAGTTTGGGTGCTCTGGGCCCCTTCCCAAAATGGAGGTACCAGGAGGAATTCACCATGGTGTATGATTTATGAATGTATGTATCCTACAATTCAAAGTCTATTTGCATGAGACTTTCTTCATTGGGGCAGATTAATTACTCAGTGCTCCAAACCTGTGTGATGGACAAAGTTGGCAAGAAGGAAGAGAGATCCTGGTATGCTCCTGCCGGCCTGAAGAAAGAAGACACTCATTGCCACACTATCTTCAGCTCCCTGAAAGTGGAAAAAGACTCTCAGATGAAACTAACATGTATAAGAACCAATACCTCAATCATGTCCCCATCCTCACCTTACTTAACTAGAGACTTGAGGGAATTTCCCCTTGGGTGAGATGTGGGACTCTTTCTCTCTCTTGGTTGAGCTGAGATATCTTGCTCCCAATGAAAGAGTTTATTCATCTGTGTATTGTGTGCTATATTCTCATCTATATACTTTCTTTGGTTTCTGTTTGCTGTTTGTCTGGATAAATGGGTTTATTTGCTGTGTTCTTTGAGGAATTGGCATTTGGTAGGAAGGGAGCCAAGCCTTGGATATAATAGCTTGGGGTCACTCCTTTCCCACTGAGGAATAATGATCAGGATCTCAGCTTGAACCTAGAAGTTATTTCCCTTAGGTTAACAATACTTATCAAGGCAGATAAATATAATTCAAGTCTGGAATCACCTTTCTCCCAAGAGAACAATAAAGCCAACCTCTGATCCTAATCTCTTGCTTCCCCTCTGGGCAGAAATCACAAGCTTCTCTTCAAGAAGCATGGATTCAAGATGCTCTAGAGATAGCTATTCATAACTCTTTATGAACCACAACTAGACAGACCCATGTGGACATACATAACCTACATAGGCGACACATACCACCCCCATTATACTTGCATTTATCCTTTTCCTAGGTAAATAAATGAGAAGATGGCAAAGACTCAACCTGAGCTGTTTTGCTGTGAGCTCTGTTGGACTAGATAGCACAATGTACAGGTGAGTGAATGGGCTGGATTGGACTGGGCCCTACAGCCTAGAGGTAACTGCCTGGTGAGCTTTGCAATTCTTTAGCTTAAAAGGAATGGCTATTCATATAGAAAGGTAATACTTTCTAAATACCCTTTTAAGGTTGTTGGTAAGTTGAGTTTATAAATACAAGAGAAGAGTAGAAAAGAGGGCACCCACCGATAGGCAATAAGAAGTGGTGCAGTTTCTTGTGGGGCATATATTCGTCTAAAAACAAATAACATCAAAACCTATATTTCCGAGTAGCAAATTACCCCCCAAAGACTTCAGGCAGAAGGTAGTGCCTAATCTCAGTCTTGAAGAAAACACAAAATTCTAAGTGGTAGAGGTTGGGAAGGAGAGCATAGCAGACTGGGGGCCAGCCAGTGCACCAGCTTGGAGATAAAGGATGGAGTGCTATTTATAAAGAATCATAAAAAGAGGGGCAGCTAGGTGGTGCAGTGGATAGAGCACCAGCCCTGAAATCAGGAGGACCTGAGTTCAAATCTGGTCTCAGACCAAACACTTGACACTAGCTGTGCGACCTGGGCAAGTCACTTAACTCCAGTTGCCTAAAAACTACAAACATTTTAATTTAAAAAAAAATTAAATAAAAAATAAAAGAATCATAAAAAGACCAGTTTGAATGGATCATAGAATAAGTTCAAGGGAGTAATGAATAAGTCTGAAAATGTAGGTTAGGCCAAGATTGTTAGGCCCAGTTGATTCATCGGTATGAATCAATTCTTTAAAAGATGATCTAGGAAATTACTACATTTTAAAGAGTAAATTAAATAAAAAGCATTATAATCACAATTAAGTGTTAATTGTGCTAAACACTAGCATAATTAATCTCACCCAAATTAATCTTACCCATCTTTAGATTTAGAAATTTCCATAGAATCTAGATTGTAGATTTCAAGTGCTATACATCAGCTCCAAATGTTGCCCTTCTAGCCACGAAGTAACCACAGCCAAAAGCTAAATTCACAGAAGCTTGCAAGATTATGTTTGGTCTCATTTGTTGTTCAGAGAGACAGACAGACAGACAGACAGACAGACAGACAGACAGACAGACAGACAGATAGATAGATAGATAGATAGATAGATAGATAGATAGATAGATGATAGAAAGAAAGAAAGAAAGAAAGAAAGAAAGAAAGAAAGAAAGAAAGAAAGAGATATGTATACATAGATATATAAGTATATAGTCTATACTTATATTTGTATATGTTTTTTTGTATTCTTTATTGGCTGTCCCCCTTAAAAAGTTCTAATCTGTTGTTTCACTGTAGCATAGAAGCGACCATGGATTTTCAAAAGCTTTGGCAACAGAGTATAATTTATAACAGGACTTGCAAGGCTAGAAATGCCTGGAGTATGGACCCTCTGGGCCTGAGTGTCTGTCATTTGAGAATCAGCCTAGCTAAGTTTGGGATGCATTTTTCAGCAAAGTCATTTTCCAATGCACTCTACTGTCATTGAAGAGTTATAATCTGTCAGTGAAGCAAAAAGTCACATGAATTAATCTCAGGCCCTTGAAATAGTGAAGCATTGACCATCAATTAATACCCTCCTCTTTTTTTGTTCTCAATATTTTCCCTAGTTATTTGTGGACACACACACACACACACACACATATATATACATATAAAAGAAAGAATTGGGAGAAGGAAAGAACTGTTAAAACTAATAGTACTGTATAATTAGGAAACACCAGCCACATATTGTCCCCTTTCAAGACAAATGCAAATTAGGCTCAATTCAGTCAATCAATTAATCAAGGAGCATTGATTAAACATTTATTATATCTCAGGCACTGGGACACATACTATGAATTCAAAGAACAAAAAACAGTCTTGCTCTCAAGGAGTTTCCATTTAACTAAGAAGATACAAAATGTCCATTGATAAATACAGAATATGTAAATGTAGACAAAGTCATTATACATACATATGTAAACATGTTTATATACGTATGCATACATAGATCACACCTTTGTGTGATGTGCATACATATATACTCCATACTTAATATTCCATCCCCAACTGTTATGCCTTTCCAAAAGCTGTCTCTAATACCTGAAATGTTCTTCCTTTCCCCTCACCCTCCCCCCACTACCCTTGAAATTCTATTCAAGTGGCAAACAGATATGATCCTGATATCTAAATCAGGAAAAGATAAAGCAGAGAATGAAAAGACTGGTAGATCTAATATTAGCACCAATTAATAAAAAATAGATACTAGAAAATCTACAGCAAAACGTTTTGTTTGATTTCATTTTATTATTTTTCTAATTAACAATCACATTTTCTCTCCCTTCTTCTAGCCATCCCCCACTGAACAAAAAATAAAAATAAAACTCTTATAACAAATATGCATAGTCAAGTGAAGCAAATACTCTAATTGGTCATGTCAAAAATGTACATTTCATTCTGTATATTGAATCTAGGAGATAGGAAGCAGTTACAGAAACATGTAAATGTTTTATTCACTATGACCAAGTTGGATTTATGCCATGATTTCAAGGTTAGTTCTATCTTAGTAAAACTATAAACATAATGGACAACATTAATAACAAAAAACAAACTCACATAATGTGACAAAATCATATCAATTGATGTAGAAAAAGGTTTTTTTTAGCAAAAATCCATTTATTTTTAAAAGAATACTAAAATGAGGGACAAATGAGACTTTCCTCAATAGTATCTATCTAAAAATCAATAAATCTAGAATTATTTATAATAGAGAAATGCCAGAGGACTTTCCAGTAAGTTCAATGGTAAAATAAGATGTTCACTGTCACTGCTATCATTGGTTGTAATTTTAGAAATTACTATATAATGATGCTATAACAATAAGATCAGATCAATTAGAGGAATATGCATAAGCAAAGTGTAAACAAAGTGATTTGTTTCTGTAAATAATATGGTTGTTTAGTTAGAGAACCCTAGAGATTCAACAGTGTAATTGTTTTAATTAATACATAACTCAATGAGTTGTCTCTTAGAAGTAGTCAAAACAATAAAAGAAAATTCATCTGGATAGAGGAAAAAAGTGAAGAATCTTAAAAGGAAATTTTTTTTTCAAGTGAGGAAGGTCAGCAGCCCCAAATCCCAATCTGTACTACGAAGCAGTAGTCATCAAAACTCTTTGATGCTGGTTAAAAAAAAGAAAAGAAAAGAAAAGAAAAATAATTCAATGGAACAGAGTAGGTACACAGGAGCCAAAAGGAATCAAAAGTAATAGCCTACTGTTTGATAAACCCAACAGCACTGAGTACTTCAGTACACACTTGATAGTTGACAAAAACTACTGGGAAAACAAGAAAACAGGTTAACAAAAATTGAGTTCAGATCAACACCTCATACCATAAGCCACATTTAATTCCAAAAGGTACATATGACTTAAATATTTAAAAATCAAATCATAAATTAAGAAAGGAAGGGGATATCTGTCACAACTATGGATAAGGGAAGACATCTTGACCAAACAAATCTTAGAGATAATTACAAAAGATAAAACAAACAATTTTAATTGCACAAAACTTAAAAGCACTTGGACAAATAGTATAAATTGGAATTAGAAGGGGTCAGTTAACTGGGGGGGAACATTTTGTGGCAATTTCTCTCAGATGGGTCTGGTAATCCTGAAATATATATAAGGAATTGACATAAATACAAAAGAGCAAAAGCCATTCTGCAGTAGGTAAATGGTTCAAAACATGTGAACATCTATCCAGGTTTCAACAGAAGAAACACAAGGTATAAACAACCAAATTTAAAATGTTCCAAGTCACTAAAAACAAAAGAAAAACAAACTCAAACAACTCTGAAGTCCCACTCCACATCCATCAAATTAACAAAGATGACAAAATAAGGAATATGATCATTGTTAGGATAAGGGAGCTCAGACATACTAATGCACCAGGGGCAATGCAATGAATTTATCCAACCATTATGAAATGCTATGTGCAACTATACCCAAAAAGCCACTACAATGTGCACAATCTTTGACACAGTAACGTCACTACTAGGCATATAGGCCAGTGAGGTCAAAGATAGCAGGAATGAACCCATATTTGCAACAACAATTAAAAAAAGATTGTGTCAGCAATTTTTGTTACAGCAAAGAACTGGAAACAAAGTAGGTTCCATCAATTTTTTGTTTTTCAGTCATGTCTCAGTTGGAGAATGGCTAATCAAATCTAAGATTTTGAGTTTAACAATAGTATTGTGCCACAAGAAGTTAACAAAAGCAATGGAATTGGAGAAACCTAAGACTTGTATGAACTAATAAAGAGTAAAGTGAACAAGACTGAAGGGAAAAAAATTGTTGTTCAGTAGGTTTTCAGCTGTGTCTGACTTTTTGTGACTCCATTTGGAATTTTCTTGGCAAAGATACTGGAATGGTTTGCCATTTCTTTCTCCAGTTCATTTTATAGATGAGGAAACTAAGGCAAACAGGGTTAATTTGGCTAGGATCACACGGCTAGTAAGTGTTTGAGGCTGGATTTGAACTCAGGTCTTCCTGGCTCCTGGCCCAGTACTCTATCCACTGCACCACCTAGTATAAAATTATTATTTTCTAAAATTATACTATGCTTATAATGAAGGAAAAAACTTCAAAGAGCTCTGATCAATGCAATAACCAATCATGATTTCAAAAGAGGAAGCATGCTTCCCTTGTCTCAGGAAAGATGTGATAGACTAGAGATGCAGAAAAAGATATATGTATTAAGACGTTGCCCATATGTGGAGTTTGCCTGAATATGAATATTTTCATGCAGGAAAATTTTTATTAAAGGAGGAGGTAGTTATACAGGGCGGACATGGATACAAAAAAAGCATAAAGAGCACAAATGAAACATTAAGAAATACGTAGAAAGGTGTATAAGGACTTTTAGAAGGAGACAGAGACAAGGAGGAAGCAATAGACCTACTGGGCAAAATTATGATGAAATAAATGAAAATAAGCTGAGATT